ATAGAACTTATGTAGCCCCACCACTTTTCAGCGCTGCGCTCGTTGTCTTGTCTTTTGTCTTCCGGTCTGTATTTACACAGTGATCTTGCCTATTTATGAATGAACGGCTCGTTTTAAAATCTTCCCGGTCTACTGACATTTGTTAAGACCTCTGCTTTAAACATTACAATCCTCATGGTAACTTTCGTTAACTTTACATTAAGTAAATCCACTTCAAAAAAAAAGCTAATTACTCCTGAACAGCAATGCCATAGAGACATACAGAGCGACCGCAAAAAAGGAAGTTCAAAGACAATATTCTAAAGATGGCGGCGACCTTATTTCTCTGGTGCATAAGGGAATGAAACTTGACGGCCCAGAAAGTCAATGAAGAAAATGTTTAAATATTCCATGGCTCAACTATAAGTTTATCAAGGGATTCCAGAGATTTCCTGACGCATGCGCGAGAACTGAACTGAAGTAGTTGAAGGAGATCGCAATTCTCGCGGATTCGTCGAGGAAATCTCTTGAAGTCTCGTTTCAGGCCTACAAGAAAGAAAAGGAATAGTCGAATAAAGTCGTTATTTTTGTTTGTTTTTTCGAACAAAAAGTATTCTCGTCGCTTGATAAACTTATAGTTGAGCCACTGTTGTCGCATGGAATATTTAAATAGTTTGGGTTACAACACAACGCTATCCCCATAGAGTAGCTATGCAATGTTGAGAGACTCGTAAGGGAACATCTCTGGTTACTCTCGTAATCTTGGTTCTACCAGAAAGACTCGGGAGATAAAATTATGAAACAAAAGCATATTTATTAACAGCCCAGTAAGCAAATATTTATAAAGTTCTTTGGCGTAGGCCCAGTCCTTAGCACGCATTTTAGCAGAATCTACATTTCCTGCCTGAAGACGAAGGCAGGGGCGCAGCCGACGCCCTGGGAGGTATGGGAAAGGACCATCCTGGTGGTGGTGGGGAGGATGGAGGTGAATGTTGGCGTCAACATCTGCGAACTCAGACATGTGTAAGTACCGATCTTTTATACTACAAGTATTAGAACATGATTTGTTAGATGTGAAGGTGACAAGTGAGGTAACGCTTGAGTCTTCCTGTCACAACCAAGCTTTCATTTCCCTGAGAGAAGGGAACGAGACATTGCGCATGCTGCTGTGTTGTAATTCCCAGAGTCTCATATGGCTGTTCAAACAGTCAAAAGATTCTGATTCAATGATGGCGACTGCCAAGCTAAGTGGGCTCGACTGCCTAGCTTGTGCGCTCGTGAGTCAATGGCCAGTTGATGAAATCAGGCTTCAGTATTTGTGGAAGGAGGGGGATAACCCCATAGCTACGCAATTTTAATTAATTCCCTCTTCTCGGAGAACTGAGGTTATGAGAGTAACCAAAAAAGTTCTGTAATAGCCTCCAAGCATGATCAAAATAAATAATCTTCAAATTCTGGCAAATTTGATAGTTTTTTTTTTTTTTTTTACCAAATGAGAGTTACTCTTGTTTTTTTGTAGAGTTGTAAGCCCTTACTTTTAAATGTCACATAGACATGATTCAGTGTGTAAAGGGTTATGTGATGTTTAAACTGATCAGTGCAGTTAGCCGTTTGTAGCATTTAGTGTGCCAATTTTGCATACAAGTTAGTGTTTGGTAAAGTTGGCTGCTGTAGTCATTATTGGCCTGCAGGTTAAAGGCCAAATGTTCTTTTTAACAGTCGTCTGTTCTCACAAAGATTTTGCTTCTTGTTTATCCTGGACAAATATAAGGCGGGAAATAGAGCCCATTACAGTACTGCTGAATTTTCCACATTATCTCCTCAACCATTCGCACAAAAAGCATCATGGAAAGTGCACTTTACCCTCTGCTCCAGAACCCATATCCAACTTTTTAATACTATTAATGACAGGGATTGTCATAACTTGAACCATGCTGAAAAATCAAGTCCCTAGGCGAGCCAACCATCACACACACACACACACACACACACACTCACAGGATATAAGCTGTCACTGAGCCAGCCAAATTCATAGAGTGCAGTCAATGCTCTATACTTGGCCACTGGCTCACTGCATTCCCTACTTTCATCTGAGCAAGAGAGAGGGAATTGCTATTGCAATTTGAAGGGAGCATTGAAAGCCATATAATAATAAACACATTTAGATTCATTATTTTTTACATCCAGGGCAACATATTGCCATTTAGACCTGTGTGTCATGTCATAAGACACCCTTATGTCACCTGTAACAAATCTGATACATCTGTTTTATCTAACCTACATCTTTCTGGTCTCCCCTGAGGGATCAGTCTGCCACAAGAAGAATGAAAGTGATGACAGACTCTGCATATCTTTACAGAGACATGAATACCTTCTGCACAGATCAAGCACTGTTGAGCTGTCAACATAACAACTATCTCTGAGATTTTCTGAGAAGTTAGCAATAAAATTTGGTTTGCTGAAAGTGTTATTGAGGTGTGTTTTCAGTATTATTGAATGTTCTAACATAGAGAATTTTATAACAGGGACACAGATCTTTAAATAAATAAAGTAGCCTAGTAATTTTTATTTAGGAGCAAAAACATATTAACATCGTTTTCAGAAAATACATAATTATTTATTGCTAAGCAAAAAATGTAAAGGATTTTGTGAAGTTATTGCTTAGCCCTCTGTTGCTCTTCTGTAATTTTTGACTGAAAATGTTTACGTATTTATTTATTTTTTTCTTCATCCGAATGGTATGAAACTGGATAAAGGTTTCATCAAGGTTTAGCCACTTTCTATGTGAACACAAAAAAGCTTGAATAGTCCTGAAAAAAAATAGTCACACATACTTCTCTTGGTTAAAAATGGTTAAAATGATCGTGTTGGAATTTAATAAGAAACAATTTTTATAAAAAAAAAAAAATTTCACTTAAAAGCCAAGCGTCTTCTTTAAAAAGAGACCAAACCAAAGTCTGTGCTCCACAACATGTGCTGTGCTTCAAGATTTATGTTGGAAATTTCATTTTCAGGTCTATGCTCAAAAGTGAATAAATGGATTATAACTGCATATAATTTATGACATGTGTAAGTAATTATAGCCTACCATAAAATGCTATTTCTGACCAAAACGCGAGGAGCAAAAAACAATATGCTGTGCTAAAAAAAGAAACCTAAAAATGGTAATATCTACATAAACTGGTTTTATTAGTATTTGCATCACTGAATCGACATTAAGTTTTTGTTTATTAACATTTTGTTAACATTAGTTGAAATGAACTAACAAAGAAAACTACTTCTAAAGCATTTATTAATCTTATTTTATTTTCAAAATTTAATTATAAGTTATTAAAATCAAATATTCTATCTGTTTATATTATGTAATGGACCTGTCAACATGAACTAAGGAACAGTTGTATTTTGCTAAATAACTTTAACAAACATTAATAAACAATGTAACCAAAGTTCTGCTCATTGTAACATTAACTAATGGGACCAAACTACCTACCATTAATCAATACCAACAAAATTTGTTATGGGTTGAAGAAGTTAAAATGGCCCTGTAATTGCAGGTTACCATTTACAGTGTAACGGGCTAAGAAAATTAATATAAGATATTCTCGCAATATGACAAGTCAACTTTCCTTTAGAAAGTTTAAAATTTGTTGTTGGTAAATTTGTTGTTTTTAGAATTCAATGTTTTTTTGCTGGAAAACAATATGGATTTAAAAACAATGGGACTATTTCTGTACTTGTTTAGATCAGTTTTCTTTTTTGCCCTTCATGTGTAATGACATCATCTCCAGGGGTGAGTTGAATGACTATATCTTTCAGGGGGATTCCAGTGTTGCGGGTGTGTGTAATGTTTGAGCATAGGTGCCAGACTAAATGTTTGGAGAGATTACTCTGAGTTACAGGACATATCATTTTACTGTTAAGACTCATGTATACACACAACATTTTCTATTAACACACAGCAGCCGATAGACTTTCTAGTTCCCTACTATTTTAGGTCTCTTCACCCTCATCTCTGCTGGATTGTGTGTGTGTGTGATTAAATGAATAAAATGGAGACTGGAGTGTGTGTAAAGCAGCGGTTCTCAGCTGGTATAAACATGGTTTATGCTGACTACACTGTGTCTTGTGGTGAATTGTTAGATGCATTTCAGGGGGTTATATAAATAAATGTCATTGTTTGATTTTAAAAAACTTGTAATTTTGTACATTAAACAATTTTGGTTTGGTCTTCATTTGATGTCCATCGTAAAGTCCTGAAGCAAGTTTAGTATTACATTTTGTAGCAGACAATAAGATGAATGTTAAATAATAAAGAAAAAACCTACACCACTGGCACTATAAAGGCCCTGAGTGTGGACTGTTCAGTGCAGTATCATAATGATATCATAATTTCAAGATTTGCCATTTTTTTTGGATCGTTTTCGGATATTTTGAAGCTTATAGCATTACTTGTGCCTTCTCAGCTGATGTAATTAATGTATATATTATTCTTTAGTTGCTCTTGTAAGCAAGCATCTGCTGAGTACATTAATACATTAGTTGACATGAAATTAGAACTTTGACATGTTTAACAGCATTTATATATATATTAGAATAAACGATTATAAATGAAATGCATTAAATTGTTCAATAGTAAAGACATTTTTAACTTCACATAATAAATGCTGTTCTTTTGAACTTTCTGTTCATCAAAGAATCCTGAAAAAGTGTTAGTTTAGCATTACTAAATTCAAATGTGATAATATAAAATATTTATTGAGTAGCAAATCATCATATTCATTTCTGAAGGATCAGGAATGAAGACTGGAGTAATGCTGCTGAAACGTCAGCTTTTTCATCACAGGAAATTTTAAAATGCATTAAAATAGAAAAAAGTTATTTTAAATTGAAATTACATATAACAATATTACTGTATTTTCATCATATAAATGGAGCTTTGATATTTCTTAAAGAGACATCTTTAAAAAAAAAAAAAATCAGTAAGTTTGGTATATGTATGAACTTTCCCTTATACACTCACATAAATGTTAATTCTCACAACATTTATTTGATGTACAAACTTGTGAAAATAAAACCAGGGCATGGAGTAGACATATAGTGGTGCGTGTTAAACGAGTAAGATTTGGCATAAAGGGGGTAGGCAACATTCTATGAAGGGCTGACTCACTGAGCATGAAATTGGCTGCTCAGGGGCATTAGAAATCTGAGCTCACAAACATACACTCACAGGCTAAAGCAAAGTAGACATGAAAATCAATCAACCTTAAATGGAGACAGAAAGTTATGGAATAAAAATCTGTACCGTAGAAGGCAGCTTTGTATTGATCACAGTCCATCACTCCACCATTTTGGTAAAGCAAGCTGGTTTGTGATGCACACACACACACATTTCATCATGTGCTTTCCATTTTTTCTCACATGCCTCAACTCTCAGGACCATGCGAGAACCATTTGCTCCTCAACGGCTGCCTACTTACACCACAATAAAAAAAAAAATACAGCACTCTCTCTGATTCACAAACAATCATTCAAAACTCTGGTTTTAGGATAGTGTTATGGACAGAGTCTAAAGATTTGGTATATATGAAGAAAAATATGAATATCATGATAAAAACACTATTAGTTAATTAAAGCAATGACTTCTACAACTATATACTTAAAGGGATAGTTTATGCAAAAATGAACATTTTGTCATCATTTACTCACCCTCAGGTCACTCAAAACCTGCATGTCTTTCTTTCTTCATACAATTAAAGTAAATGCAAAACATTAGACCCAACTGACTTCCTTTGAGAAAAAAAAAAAAAAAACAGCAACAAAACACACATTTTCAAAATATATTGTCTTGTTCAGTAGAAGAAAAAAAGTCATACAGATTTGGAACAACATGATGGTGAGCATATGAGGGCTATTATTTTAAGGCCTATTCCTTTAAATTTACAACACACATAATGAGTTTTTCTTTCACTAAAAGTTTTCAGAGGGAAAAGGAGGAGTATTATGTACAGCAAATTTAATTTAAAACAGAGAGACATACATGAGTATTGAAGATATGAGAGAGAGACTAGTGGCTACAATACAAATTCTAAATAGAAAAGACTGTCAACCTTTGGATAACACAAAAACGTAGATTTGCATAAATACAAATATATAATCATAATGTTCAAATACAGATTTTTACAAATATGTACAATGTTTTAATTACATTTTGACACAACTGCCTGCCGTATTAGATGACAAGTTTTTGAACTCTCCTCCCCCCTCGGCTCTCTTTGCTCTGTCGTTTGTTGAATTCCCAGCTGGTATCTCACTTTCCAAGTTGAGTTTTTATGGCCAGCAGCTTATGAGAAAAAACAGAGGTACAACAGAATGGGGGAGAAAACATTTCTGCACTTAGTATCAAATTGTCTGTGTTTGTTTGGGGAAGCAAAGTGGTTCATGTCCCATTTCTCTTTCACTTGAAAGTCTCTGAAAGTCTGAAAATAGGCTTGCAATAATTGCTTGCAAAATACTGACATTCTAAGGCACTTTATCTTTTTCTTATGCGAAAACTCAAGTTATTGCGTGGACCACAATCTCCTGTTTCATACGGTGGTTTCCCCATGCCCGCCACTGGTCAAACGTGAGTAGAACTTCCTCCACGAGTGCAGCGTCTTTCCCGACCAGATCCAGAATCCCGAAGTGATCCCTACAATGAGAGTCATTAGATACTTGATCATGAAGACGGTGAAGTCGGGGGTCATGTGAGGAGCGGACTGCATGGGACAGGGGATGGCAAGGCTTTTACAGTTCGTACTGATCCAGCTCTTCTCCCAGTGCTGCCTGAAGGCCTGCTCATAAAAAAAGCAGGCAATGACGATGGTGGCCGGGACGGTGTAGAGAACTGAGAAGACGCCTATGCGGACCATCAAGCGCTCCAGTTTCTCGGTCTTGGTGCCGTCGTGCTTCATGATAGTGCGGATGCGGAACAACGACACGAAACCGGCGAGCAGGAACGAGGTGCCAATGAAGAGGTAGATGAAGAGGGGGGCCAACACAAAGCCCCTCAAGGGATCCAGATTATTCAGGCCCACAAAGCAGACGCCACTTAACAAATCTCCATCAATCTGCCCCATGGCCAGGATACTAATAGTTTTTACGGCCGGAACGGCCCAGGCAGCCAGGTGAAAGTACTGTGAATTGGCTTCAATAGCCTCATGGCCCCATTTCATACCTGCTGCCAGGAACCAGGTGAGAGACAGGATGACCCACCAGATCGAAGAAGCCATGCTGAAGAAATACAGCATCATGAACAAAATCGTACACCCTTCCTTCTTTGTACCTTGAACTATGGTTTTATAGCTGTCGGGAAAAAAGCTCTCATTGCACATAACTTTATCCCCAAGAAAATAGCCAGCAATATACGCAATGGACACCATGGTATAGCAGCCAGACAGAAAGATAATAGGACGCTCTGGGTACTTAAAACGTTGCATGTCCACTAAATAAGTTGTTACGGTGAAAAAAGTGGACGCACAGCAAAGAGAGGACCAAATAAGGATCCAAATCCGGGCAAATTCAATCTCTTGGTCCGTGAAGAACATATAGGCCCCGTGAGTTCTGGAGGACTCGCATGGAGCACCACAATCCAGCTCGCCCAGGAACTTATAGCCGAGGTATGATGGCACTCTGAGCACTGACGGGCAGCGGAACGGTTTGTCCGGTGAAGAGTAAAGATGAACGCCCGGAGTTCCTGGAACGGGCATATGAACGGGCGCCACAGTGGCCGTGGATTCGTTCTGGCCCACGCAGATGTGTCCGTCTCCCAGCACTGGGAAATGCTCGCATCTCAGCCTCTCTGGCCACTGAAAGCCAAACTTGTTCATTAGGGCCTCGCAGCCATGCTTTGCCCTTTCGCAGATGGAGCGACATGGTGGGATGGCTTTCTCCAAAACTGTGCACACCGGCGCGTACATGGAGCACAGGAAGAATTTAAGTTCAGGCGAGCACTGTACCTTGACCAGCGGGTAAAACTGGTGAACCTCCAGCCCGGCATCCTCTTGGTTGTAGTGTCCGACCAGATTTGGCATTATGGTTTGGTTATAAGCGATGTCTGTGCACAGGGGGATGGTTATGGGCTGACAGAAGCCGTGGTCGGGGACGGCTATCCCATTATCTCCTTGATACTGTCCAGACGCCACGAAACAGCACGGCAACATCAGTGCCAAAAACAGACACAAACTTCCACTCGCCTGCATTCTCCCGGAAAGTTCCGCCTAACTTTCACTGAATACAATGTTAGTTCACAAACTATGCTTTTGGCGGCATATTATTTAATAATCGAAAACAAAAAGTCTCGATAAACTCGCGAACTAGTGTATATCGCATACTCAACCAGAAATATCTGTTGCCCGCAGAAGCGACTCTGCATGACTTTTCCCCCTTTGTCCGTCAGACTGTTTCAAGCTCCCCCTGGGCTGCCTGTTGCTGACTTGGAGTATGGAGGAGGGATTTCGGGGGTCTTGAAACAGATTTTTACTCTAAACCCCCATTCACACAAGGACAAGGTCTTCAGACCAATTGAAAAGCTGAAGACCCATATCAACACCATATGCCACAGTTATCTGAAAACGAAGAGTATATTTTTATAAATAAGCCAATTGTCCTATTGGGGTAGGAAGGTGGTAAAGAGAAATGTCTATCTGTCTAAACCAACTGTTCTATTGGGGTAGGAATTTGGTAAAGAGAAATATCTATCTATCTATCTATCTATCTATCTATCTATCTATCTATCTATCTATCTATCTATCTATCTATCTATCTATCTATCTATCTATCTATCTATCTATCTATCTATCTATCTATCTATCTATCTATCTATCTATCTATCTATCTATCTATCTATCTATCTGTCTATCTATCTATCTATCTATCTATCTAATGGGTAGTGGCGACATCTTGTGGTTTTGTGTTGTCAGTGACATTCATCCGTATGTTATCGCTTTATTTATTCCTTTTTTACGTTTATTTTTAATTAAATGTATTTCTTATATTTCAAATTTTTAAAATAATTTTTAAATCAAAATGTTAGTAATATTGATAATAATGAAAATAATAGTGACATTGAAGATAGGGATATACAAACAAAGGGATGTAGCATTTCTTTGTAATATATTATTTATGTTTATATTAAGAAAATTCTAATTAAGAAAGAAAAATTAGAAAAGAAATAAAGCGAGAGAAAAAACTGATCAATTATTGGGATGTTCATTCATTTGATGAAAAAAAAAAAAAAAAATCCTGAGAATCCCTACGCTATGTAATTTCTTCTGTGTTCGAGTCATAGGTTCTGGTGCGTTGCTTGACTTCAACTCTGCACGCGACCATTAGATTGATTCCGATTGGCTAATTGAAGCCGGTTTAGCCAATAGAACTGTTGGCTAGAGACCGCAAAGGCTTAGTTCGCGGGCACATCGGTGAAGAGACACGGTCGAGGTTGCGCGATCTTCTCTGCAAAAAATTTACGTGAAATAATTTGGCCCGTCGTGAGGTTGTCGTCTTTAATTTATTCTCACATTAAATCATCTGATTAATTTGAAAAATCGTGAACAATACATATTTATAATTTATATCATTCGTAATTTATAGAGAGAGGCCCCCTGCCAGCAGAGTTCATTGCCAATGGAGGTAAGTTAAGAGCTTGTTGTTCTGAGGAAAAACTTTTGGCTAGTTAACTTTTTCTGTCTGGTTAAGTTAACTTGGTTACCGACCGAATACAGATATTACGAAGTGTACACATAGACTACCCAATTAAAACATGTATTAGCATAGTAAGAAAAGTTATAGGCAATGATATCGACTCATGTTTAACAATAAGCACAACAGCCATGTCGTATCACCGGGCGAAATAAAATCCGCACAAGGCCTCATTTTGGCACGTGTTGATAATTATATATAACATGAAAATGTATGTTGGGGTGTTTGTTTAAACGTTATTTTTCATCTCATTATTGTCCATTTTCATAAAGTAGGCCTATCATTTTTATTCGTTTGCATTATAATAAAATAACTTTATTCCCTTTACATAGCACATCATTCAGACATGTACATATAGTTTTCTCTTGTGTTTAAGGTTAATAATGCAGTGAAAAACAAAATCAACGTGGATACAAATGGAGCAAGAACGGTCTTTGATCGATTTCATAGCTCAGTTCCAGACTCCTACTTTTCCACCCACAAGCCTCAAGTGAGAAGACCTTCATACTGTCGTTCAAACTGTTAATACCGCACAAAAATATTTTTTAAATAATTAATACAATTATGATTTTACAATATTGATTTGCCATTTTACCTTTCACCTATTCATCAAGGGATGGTATGCAATTTGCTTGTATGTCTCAATGTATAGTAATTTGAACTACTTTTAGCTGTTATTTCGATTAAGATGTCAGATATCAGTCTCAGATTTAAAAGACCATATGATTTTTAATGTCTGGATGGGTATTTTTCGTTTTTGAAAATACTTTAAATGTGTTTTTATATCCTTTTTATAAGCATTTTATAGGCTTATCAACAAATGCTTTGTTCTTCAATTGCAGAATAATTTCAGTGATAACAGGTTCTTCAACTCGTTCTCGGACTGCACGTTGCAAGACTGTGCACCACTACCTTATGCAGTTTGGCCAACTCAGGAAGACTGTAAATCAGCGAATTGGCCTCAAGTCATGCCTAATAACAGGTAATTTTTATTATTTTATTTTTGTTTTAATATAATACTATATTTGGAAAAAACTGTAAGTTATTAACTATATTAACAGTTAAAACTGTAATCCAAAAGAGGCAAGCAAGCAAACCAATTTTATTTACAGTTTTTTTTATTCGCTTTGGTACTATTTTCACAAGTAAGGTGTACATTTTCAAAACTCTTAGTGCTAATATCACAACAGATCATCAAAAGTGCACTTTTTTCAAACATTTCATCATGTTTTCAACTGTGTTAGTACAATTCACACAATCACAAAGTATCCTTTTCACAACACAAAATAAGTGTTTCATCTACATTATTGTTTCATTCACAGTAACTGCCTTTCATAAAGCTCTTACTATCAAACTTTTGATTTGCATCTCTTTTTGTTCAGTTTAATACTTTTGTCTATTATTTAATCCAACTGATCTTAATGTTTAATCAATTAATCATTTGGTAAACCTATAGATTTTCAATTCAGCAATATACAGTATATGGATTTTGAGAACTACAGAAATAAAATGTGTGTTTGTATGAATATTTACAAGTAAATTACATGTAACCACACATGATGAATACTCGTTATAGCTAATTGATTTCACATAGTGGTAACCACAATTGGCCACTATGTACAGTAATGTGTGCACTAAATGTTATGTTTCGTTCTTATTTACGTAGTTACATTTCATTATAGAAAGTATACCTATGTTACAATTTTATCTGAAAAATAAAAACTATAATTTGCCTAAATGATTGTAGAGGATGTCTTCATTGATCCTTCACTTAGGCCTACATATATGATGGATATTTGAAAATTATAGATAATGTACGTAAATGTTGGGTACTGTAAGTGTATTGCCTAATGTTACAGTAAAACTGTGTAATCTGTCTTTTATGGTACTGTAGCATATTCATTTCAGCACTTCTAAGGCCGATTTGAAACATGTATCTTGCATTGTTTGCTGTTGGATGAACTAATTGTTAAAAGTACTAAACTGAAAGAAGATCATATTGTTGTGTTTCAGTGATTAAACCAAATGTTCTCATTACATATTACAATAATCTTGTGTTTGAAATAATGATTATGTGGACTGAAAACATGTGCACCTTACTTGTGAAAATAGTACCAAAGCGAATAAAAAAAACTGTAACACTTTTCCAAACAAATCAATGCATTTCCAAGTGCTTTACTGGCAAGAAAGAAACAATAGTTAGTATATGTATATTTTTAAATAAAAATAGACCCATTAAAATACAAGAATAAGAATGAAGTTTATGAGGATTCAAATATAAAATAAGTAACTAAAAATTAAGAAAAATACACATATATTAAAAGACATTATAGGAACGCCAGCTTAAAAAAAACAAGTTTTTAATTTAGATTTAAAACTATTAATATTTTCAGCACATCTTATGTCCTCCTGAAGGTTATTCCAGAGGCGAGGAGCAGAACAGGAAGGGAAACGTGGAGGTGTTTGGTCACTTCTCTGCTCGGCCCATATTGAATGAACTGGGCTAGTTGAGTGCGATCAAAGTGTCTTGCGCGCCAGAGCGATTGAGTGCACGCACAACTCGTCTTAGTTAAGGGAATAACATAGTTTAATATGAAAAAAACAGAGGAGCATTCCTTTAAAAGAAAAGAATCCGATGATCTGAGAGTCCTTCTAGGTTCATATACTGTAAGCATTTTTAAGAGATAATCTGGAGCAAATTCATGCAATGCCTTATGACCTAATAAAAGGTTTTTAAAATCAATACGAAAACTAACAGTTAGTGTAATGACTTAAATATAGGCTTTAGGGGTGGGGAAAAATAGATTCTTAGATGCATTGCGATGCAGATGTGGATGATTCTGAATCAATTCACAAAAAAAAAAAAAAAAACTTTATTTATTTATTTATTTATAATAACGTAATATTGACGAAACCCGAAAGATGGAACTCTGATGTGCGGAAGTGCAGACGGTCCGTCTGTGGTGTGCACATAACTGAGAGCGAATTCCTAACAACCTTCTCGTTAAAAGCTGACGTGTGGAAATAGTTTAGCTTCTATGAAGTTGAAGGGGGAAATGAGCTGGACATGAGCCACACTATTTGTAAGCTTTGTAGAATAAAACTAAAATATTTCAGGAACACAACAAATATGGGAAGCCATATGACACGTTTCCACACAGAGGAGGAAAAACACTCGACTTTACTGGTCGTTGTTATATTATTAATTTACTACAAGTGTGCTGCTTGTTCAGGCACACATTTATTTTCCTGTTGGTTCTTTGCAATGTTAATAAAATATATTGTACGTTAATTCTTTACGGGTCATTACTTTGTACTTTTAAAGTAAAGTATTTATAGTCACACACAGACACACACACACACACACACACACACAGAGTCGATTCAGATAATCGTTTTAGCATCGAATCGCAGCCCTTTGAATCGTATTCAAATCAAATCGTGAAAGGCCTAGAGATTCCCACCCCTAATAGGCTTTAACATTTGGTAAAATTACAAACATGAGCTTTAAAATTAAAGTCAAAGTCAAAGACAAATACATTTTTCTGAATTTGGCTTGGGATTAATCCCAGTATATTTAGTTTAGGGGTTAATTTCTCTTTCTGATCTTTTTTTCCAATGATCAAAACTTCTATTTTATCTAGGTTGAGTTGTAAGAATTTTTTTTGACATCCAGTCATTTATGTCTTGGATGCAATTTGCAAGTTAATCAAATTTCCCCAGTGTCATCATGGGACATTGCTACATATAACTGTATCTAATACTAATGTTTGTCTTGCATAGAAATCTGGTAGATGCTAGTAATTGTGGGAGTGAGGCTGATCTTTATGGATTAGTGTCAGACATCTTGGAAGAACCAGATTCTTTGGACCCATACTCCTCGTACTTCTCAGAGAAGTAAGTCCCTCTTGATTTGTGTATCAGAAATTAAACTGTAATGCTAATTATGAATAATAAATGTAAAATTGCTCATTTCTGATTCAAATGACTTTAGTAAACAATGTTTAAGATAATTTTCTTAGGCTGCCAATGCAATTAAAGGGTTAGTTCACCCAAAAATGAAAATTCTGTCAGTATTTACTCACCCTCATGTTGTTCCAAGTGTTTATTTGTTCTGCTGAACACAAAGGAAGATATTTGGAAGAATGTTTTAATCAAACAGATCTCATTCCCCATTGACTACCATGGTAGGAAAAAATACATACTATGGTAGTCAATGGGGATTGAGATCTGTTTGATTTACACCATCTGTTTGATCTGTTTGATTGAATGTGATATGTCAGTTTTAGTAATTTTATAATCTAAACGAAACATCCACCAGCTTTCTTTAAGCTTGTTGCATGGACTTCATGCATAACAAAATCTTTAAAAATCTTTATATATATTTTCTGTTGTTTAATTTTTTTTAGCAGGCTACCATCTAGTCTGAAAGGGGTCTGGTCTCCAAACTTAACAAGAGAGGATAGCATGCAGTACTTCAATAATGATGTGCAGATGCCACCCATTTCTGGATTCCCATCAAACCAGACTTGTCCTAAACCCATGACCAATGTCTGTCCTCAGACAGCAGGCAGAGAATCTCATCAGTGGGCTGAATTTCAGAATTACAATGGTTTTGATGCTTGTTCACCTCCATGTAATATCACCTCCTGTAATGGAGAGGATGATGCATATTCTCCCCTAGATCTCCCTCGCCCCCCAGGCCTGAACACACCGCCAGCGTTAACCTCTAACCTGTACCAGACCAGGGCGAGTAAACCTGAGTATATTACACCAGAGAAGGATGAAGGATACCGCAGCACCACTAACTGCCTGTCTGATTATATAAGCACTGTCAACAACTTCTGCTGGCCTCCACAAAAAATGGATGACTCCTATTTCAGTTCATCTCATGAATTTTCATCTGTGAGCAAAGATAAAATGAGAAACTCCCAATCTTTCTCTGTGCAGGATGTCAGTAAACTGGCCTTTCTCTTGGCAGAGCAGGATATGAACTACTGCAGAGAATCGAACGGGCTTTTAACACAGAGGAATCCAGAAGAAATCATGGCAAATCAGAAGAGTCATCCTTTTCAAAAGATCTCAGAGGTTATTACTCAAACATCAAATTTTAAGAGAGAGGTGACCCGCAACCATTTGGAGCAAAAAGGATCTAAAGCGGAGGATCTAAAGACTCTTTTACAAAATCATTATACTACAAATGAATTTTCAGGGTTTGTGCAACCTAAACCTTTTTCACCTACCGTCGTTCCTCCAACTTTACACCCAAACAAAGAAGCCATTCTGATGGGAAGCAGCGCAGCTCAAGCTGGTGTAAAGCAGTTCCAGCCTGTCCAGTCAAACCATTATCAAATCCAAGCTAACATTTCAGCAAAGACCAACAGCAACAATGGATCGCAGGGGTTTGCAAAGCTCACGTCCACGTCTGGAGCTTTTCCATTAGATCGTTCTCAACAGTTGTTCCGGGTTGCAGCGAGAGTCCCGGCTGATTTGAGTCAAGGGAATGCAATAAATCGACATGGTGCAATAGGCCAAGTCAGTTTCGAAAATTTAAGGAAGAAAGCAGGAAATGTGGACGTTCCAGATTTTGAACAACTGAACAAAAGGTCGTCGGCGGGCCGCATGGTCGATGGGCATTTTAGTCAGAGATTAAGCATGAAACCCACAGTTCCTGGTTTTCTGAAAGAAGCAGACAAAAAAACAGGAGTCCTGCAGAGTCCATACCAGGGTCTGGGCAGTATGTACGGAGGACAAATGAGATACAATGGAGCTAGTTCAAACTCAGCCAAAACAACACCACCACAGCATTTCCCTATCCTATATCAGATGGGTGATCCCAGAAAAAGTGCATGCCAACCAATTCAGTCACAACTCCCACTGCCCTACTGCTCCACGTCCGTCATCGACAGGAATGAACGTCTGCCTGCTGAAGATATTTCACCTTTCAGCCCCTATCTACAAGAATATATTGGGGTGAGCCAAGCATCAGGATATGGGTCGTTCTCTGGCTTTCTATCTGCCATGACTTTGCCTAAGCTTGGCAAGGCACTCGGAAGCCCCAACAGTCAGCTACACTTTTACCTGGAGGAATGTTACGAGCAGTGGAGGATGCTGGAAAGAGAGAGAAAGAATGTAAGTGTGATGTTCTTTGAGACATGAGGGTATTCATGTATTTCGTTCATGAATTTTCAAGTATTATAGCCAAACCAGAGCATTTTTTCAATGACAATAATGTATGGATTACTTTATCACTGCTTCTGTCTTGGTGAATCATGCTATTCTATTACCATGTAGTTTGCATACTGAACTATATTTATTTCACAAGCATTATGTGGTAAGAAACTAATGTAATATGGTATTCTTTCTGACAGGCAGAAGCTGTTCTTACAAAGACTTACCCTGGAAAATTTGTGTCCATGATGACCAATAGCGTTTTACCCAAAATGCCTCCAAACCCATCCAGAGTGGACAGGCTCATTGTAGACCAGCTGCGTGAACAGGCCAGGGTCAGCTTTCTGTCCAATATTTTTCATAAAACTCTGAGGGTTTTCAAACAGTGGCCCATGAGAGGGTGCTTAGCATGTCTGCTGAAAAAGTGTAAAAATGTAAATAAAATAATAAAACATAAAAAACATATAAAACTTAATATATATATATATATATATATATATAAGACAAAAAAAATGTAATATATATATATATATATATATATATATATATATATATATATATATATAAGGCTGCATGAATCACAATGTATAGGGTTGGTAGTTGGTCTGTACAAGCTGTTTCTTCTCCCAGGTCCTGTCCCCCAGTTCGGAGAGCATGTGATTCACATATTAATTGCAAAGTTTAACCATCATAGAGTGAGTTTATCATTTGCATGTGTTTTAAGTCCTGTTAGTTTAAACGTCATTCGTCTTAAAGTGACAGCAGCCCATATACAACAATTAAACAACAAAAGAGAAAACCACTGTTGTGGCTTAAAGATATTTCTGAATTAATTATATGAATCATGTTTAATTTATACAGTGAAGACTATGCAGTTTTTTTACATTTGATTATTCAATGTCTGTACCTCAACACAGTAATTTACCTGAAAAACACAAAGCACTGCTTATTTCATCTTTGTCTTTGTTCTATTGTATTAAAGGGTTAGTTCACCCAAAAATGAAAATTTCTGTCAGTATTTACTCACTCTCATGTTGTTCCAAACCTCTGTGTTTATTTGTTCTGCCGAACACAAAGGAAGATATTGTGAAGAATGTTTTAATCAAACAGATCTCATTCCCCATTAACTACCATAGTATGTATTTTTCTACTATGGTAGTCAATGGGGAATGAGATCTGTTTGATCATCATATTTGGGGGACATGGGATGAAAATGTTTTCTTTTTTAATTCTGCTTTTGCCAATTTTATTATTTTGTGATCTTATATTCTAGAGTTAAATGGACATTGATTTAGACTATTGTTACAGATGAGATGTCTCTCCCAAATTTTAATGCAAAATTGCCTTGTGTTTGTAGGTGGCAGGTTTGCTAGGCAAGATGGAACAGTTGCGGAGTTTTCCATTTCATGCTAATATCAGCTCAGCATTGGACAGGCATCTCGAGGTCATCTACATCACTCAGGCACGCCGCAAGGACGAATTCATCAATGCTAACAGCAGACAGAGGCAGCCGGTGGCCTTGTTTAGAGAGGACAGGGGTTAGTGATAATGCACTATAACAAAAAGCAGGAAGTACACATCTTCTGTAAACTAGTGTAAAGCCACAATCCAGGGCCTGCAAATGGTATTTCCTAGATATTTCCTATCTTGTGCCTATATAATGTGTATTACAAGGTAAAAGACATAAAATAATAAAAGGTAATGGAAATAAAATAATCCTAACCTATTACTGTGCGTTCTCACTGCTGCCAACGAGATCAAAGTCATTCATTTTCAATGTGAACCAGCGGCGAGCTCTGGCGAGAAGCAGCACGGTGTATATTGGGCAGTGTGGGCGTAGAGAAGAGTCAGGTCAACTTTATGGTAATGAGCTATGATGCGTTTCGGCGGCATCCAATCTGAATGTAGAAGTCTCTGCTTAAGATGATTCCAGAGAATACAGTCCTGTAAACTTTGGTTCTGACCATATACGTTTCCAAGCAAAATGGAGGAGAGGTTGATCATATGAATTTATCAAGAAGGTGCGCAACATTTCATGCTAGAACGCTTGTTTTTCAGTGGGAATTCGAATTAGACTAGCACTAAACCATGAAAACAAAAGCCACACCACAATTAGTGGCTTTTAGTTGGTTTATTTTGTTAGCAAACATGTCACTATAATTGTTAAGTTCTTTCCATCATCAATTCTGTACAGGATATTTAAAGGATTCCATAAGGTTAACTTATACCCTACTTGTGGTCAGTCTGCACCAATAACGATCAATTCACTTGTTTGCTTTGCGGTCCCTTTAAATAAAGTTTAAAATAAAGACCAAGCATTTGATCTATGTCAGAGCGTCCACGAATCTTTCTATGGCGTTGTTGGCAGGGCAGCCAGAGCTAATTTTGACACTGTCGCTGGTGGCAGTGTGAACGCACAATTATATTATAAAGTATTATGTTCAGTTCATTTGCAGTATTTGCTGATAATGTTTTGACCCAGAGTAGATTCAACACACACTCTTCCTTAACCTCCTTATCACACTATTTTGTGTTTCAAATCTCACAGAGATACTTCTGCTGGCTTCTGCAGTGAAGGACATGTGCAGCAGCACCAGAAAGGCCCGAACTTCTCTCTGGTGTGCATTACAAATGACTTTGCCCAAAAGAAGCAGTTACCTAGAGGAGGAACACATGAAAGGTGCCTGCTCCCCTTTTGGCCCTGACAGTCCTGAGCAGAGCAGCTTGTAGAGAGTACTGACAACCCCGTGATCACTTTCTGGCAGGTATACAGTCTTTGTGTGTGTGTGTGTGTGCGTTTCCGACACAAAGTAACATCGATCTAACCTGTACAAAAAGGCATAAGAGGTGATAGGATTGCATTTTTAGAGGAATGAATAAGTTATTTAAGTTATTCCACTATAGTGATACATTAGGCTCAGTTGTGGGCAGCAGATGGAATTCTTAGTTCATTAATATTTATCAGTCTTCTGTGAAAACCACCAATCAGATTATAATCAAATTCTCCAAAATACATGGAATTATGGCAGTAAGATCAATATTGAGCTTTTGTCTGAGGACCCCAGAGGAGCTGCCAGTAAAAACAAGGCGTTTTGAGAGAGTATGAAAATTTGATTCAACAACTGTCAAAGAAAGAGACATGAAATCAGAAGGACCTTTTAACTGGCTAATGGTGATAATGGTACAGAATGCGCAGCAAGAGTAAGGTCTGTTGCTTTGGAGGATAATGAGATATTTTTGCCTAGTTGACAGAAATGTATAAATAGTTACATAGGAAACAAAAAAAGTGTTAACTGTTTTTTGTCAGTTTAATTAGTGTCTCCTACAACCTATACAAAATACTCAGCCAATTTTAGGTCCGCTGATACACACTTTCACAAAAAAAAAAACAAAAAAAACAACAACAGTATTTATGAACAGCAGGACGTGTTCTAGTTTTCCTGTTATTATTTACTTATTTATTTATGATCTTCTTGATGTCAGCACTTGTTTTTTAGTGGTCTCACTGAATAAGCAATGATAATCACAATTCTCTTCCAAATCTGTCTTTTGTTTTAGAATAATCTGAACGTGATTTTATTTATTTGCAATTTATCTAAATTCTGAATTGAACTCAAGATATCAGTCGCTATTTTTCAGTATGTGTATGTGGTCAATCTGTCTGCAATGTAACTCATTTGAGGATATATTGAGTTGCTGAGAGTAACATCATTCATTGACTGAAATAAATGATGTGAACAACCTGTTACTGGCACAACATTTTAGACTGACATTGTTCATATGACGTGTGCTTGTACTGTTTAGTTTCATTGCCTTTGCTTTTGTTCAAGTTTAACAATTAAAAAACACAGCAGTGAAGTCCCAGAACTCAAAGACTGGTGCGTAAAACTACTGTTTATTTAATTAAACATTGATCCAATATACATTGTTAATCAATTAATGTTGACCTCATTAAAAAAAGCAGATCCCTGTCGTTATAAAATGAAACCACTAGTAAAATAATCCAGTAAAGCTTGTATATTTTTCTGAATTTCTGTTCACTTCTGGTCACATATAATACGTTTTAAAACAGTGTCGATAATGGCCATCAACTCGCCAAAAAGCTGGTTGGCTAAATAATGAAAGCCATTTGTAAACAAGTCCCTTTCTCTCATTCAGTTCTGAAAATCCTAGGCAAATATTTTTGTTTCCTTAAATCAAGCAATTTTGACTGAACAGAATAAAAATTACTGAAACCTCACTAGGTGGTTTCCATCATAAAATCATTTGGACGTCATTAACGTTTTGACCCCTGAATATGGTCAAGAAACAGATTTGACATTGACAATTAAATTGTATTGATGTAAAGACAAACATGAGTTTTTGGATAGATGAGAACAGATAGTACAAAAGTTTTAGCAGTCATCAGTATTCAAGAGTTAGAGCACTTATTGCATAAATAACAGCTTTCAAGCAATCAGCAGTGGCAGTGGATAAAAAAAGCATCAACCATTGGCCTTGCAACATCCCATTTAAAAAGTCCCATTTGTAAAACCTACATATATATAAAAAGGTAGAAATTCATTCTCTGTGACTCAAATTAACTGTTCACATTAGTCAAGAGTGAACTCGTTCATTTACACAGCTCAATTTATTGTACAAATTTTGGAATATTTTGGCGTACAAAATTTTTACTATTGTTGATCTGATAAAAGAATTCTCAAATCACATGACTTTCCAAGCTAACAGACAATAAAGGTTTAAAGATATCAGTTTGCTTACAGTGCAGGCCATTGAAGTATCCGAGAGGGCAGTCTGCAAGCTGTTGGCAAAATGTGTAGCAGCTTCAAATTAACAGTTGTCAACTGATATAAATGCATAAACATACCCTTCTTTCATTAGGATCAACTCTTAGGTTCACTGCCCTACAATAAAAATAAACCACGACTGAGACAGAAACATCTAACACACCAAAAGTCCCCCTCTCCTATTCATTGGCAGTTACGTTTCTCCGTCTTTGGGTCGTCTCTGAACACTCTTCATATATTGCGACATGACAAGAAGGCTTCAGTTGGTTTCAGGTTTTTCTGAAAAAGCTTGTGAGCTGAATAAACAGATATATTTTTGTGTCTTGAGTAACTTTGTGTTAAAAATCACTGGAGTGCTACTAAGAAGCATCATATGGAAAACATAAAACAGGTTCACAGTCCCCCGAAGCAATAGGAAGAGGAATTATACTGTTTTTAGACACAAGCATTTTGGTTATCTGCTGGCAAAGGTTAAAGAGTGGATCTCACGGAAACAAGTCCAGGTCACTTTTCACCCTTCAAAAAAAAAAAAAATAAATAAAAAATTAAAGTAAAATAGGAGAATAAATGGGCTCTATGCACGGCAGTATTTCCGGTGAAGGTTTAAGGATGCTTGATAACTTCCGCCGATCATAGAGTCCAATGCAATACTGAGAATTTATATTGAATTTTATACTCCATGGTTATACTAAAGAAACATTAGTCACAAAAACAGACAAAACAGACACCCCTTGTTGTGTTTATGCTTCTTTTTAAAATTATATTAAATAAACAAATATATATAAAATTACATCTAAACGTATGTACGTTTCGTTTCAAAGACGGGATGACAGTAAATTTTGAAGACTCTGCCATAATCCCGTTTTCCTCGGTTTTCCTCCGCTTTAATCTCCCCAACTGGAAACAGACGAGCATCCTTAGGTCAAATGCGGAACTTATGCGTGCATATAGCCCATTACGTTCTGCACATGATTACCTTAAAGGGATTGTTCACCCGAAATGAAAATTATGTCATCAATTACTCACCCTCATGTCATTCCAAACCTGTAAGAATTTCTTTCATCTTCGCAACACAAATGAAGATCTTTTTGATGAAATCTGAGACATTTCTGTCCCTCCATTGACCGAAGTGTTCCACTGAAACAACTACCACTTCGACGCTTCAAAAACTCCATAAAGAGATTGTAAAACGAATCAATCTATATATCGACTCCTGTCTTCAGTGTCACATGATTGTTTAGAAGTTCTAATCTCAGCTGATCTTCTGTTAGTGTTCCCTGGTCAATGTTTATATGTGAATAAAATCCTAAATTCAAGCTGTTCATCATATAAACAACTGCATCATTTCAGATTCAAATTCATATGGATTAGTTGTGATGTGTGTCTTTTTGAAATTTTTGAAGTATTAAAGTGTCATTTTTGTAGTTGTCAACTGAGGGACAGAAATGCCTCAGATTTCATCAAAAAGATCTTAATTTGTGTTCCAAATATGAACGAAAGTCATACGGGTTTGGAACAACGTGAGGTTGAGTAATTGATCACAGAATTTTAATTTTTGGGTGAACTAACCCGTTAGAAAGAGGAAATAGGAAACAAGATTTTCAGGTTAAAATGTGACCTGAACATGTTTTTGACAGTTTTGTGCAATTTCTCCTTAAGTAGCACAGCAGCGAGCACCTGTAATAAATGGATGGGTAACGATACAATTCTCACTCAGTTTGCTGGTTTGCGATTAGTTTTATACAAACTAAGAAAACAGCTAACATTATCATTCAATAAACAATATCAAACACAAAATCGGATATGGGTGCATATACATTGTTAGTTGGGACAGTGTCTGCTGAGGTCTCATTGTTTTTTCTCTTCTAGGTAAATGACCTTGGCATTATAGTCTGCACAGTTTTCTTCTCTATCTCTTGCGCTCTCCCTTCTGAGTGCGTTTCTTCTCTCTGTCCTTGCGCTCCTGCTTGAGCAGCTTGTCTTTCTCGCGTTGCATCTTGTCCTGTTCTTTCTTCTTCTGTGCGTCCTCTCTGGCCTCGTCACGCTGCTGTTTGCGGCGGTTTAAAACATCCTCGACGTTAGTGTTTTTGAAGAGGGCTGGAGCTGGCAGTGAAGGGCTACTTAACAGTTCATGATACTTAGATATTTAGTCTAAATAACGGACATACTGCAGCTGTTCCTTCAACAGCACTGGACACTAAACAAGTACTTATCATAGCGTTATCAATATATACTATACACTTTGAACATGACCAGAGGAGAGATCTTCTCCTAGATTGATTGTTTTTATTCCAAAGGATACATTTGTCAATAGGTATTCCCATCACAACTTGTTCCTCCTCATCTTCAGTACAAATGTTAAGGAAACTGCTTTACACTGGATCAGCTGAACCGTGAGCTTGAGAGAGATTAAGTGATCATTTGTTCTCAAGTGGGCGTCATGGAAATCATAGAAACGAGTACAGAATACAACATATCTACTTGAAAGGATATTCTTCCTCATCTGTTACATTAGCATACTGAGCCAGTAGAGCCTCTTTCCCCTTCTTGGATGCCTCTGACGAAACCTTCTGTTTGACTACAATCTGTGCCTGCTTCTCTATCAGACTAGCAATGGCCTGAACCTCATCTGAAATGAGAAAAAAAACACGGTTTGCGTCACTATTATTTTGTGTTGTAAAATAATATAGATGGTATTATGAAAAGAATGACAATAAAAAAATATTATACAAAGATTCAACTGGCAAAAAGCTCAATATGTGTGCTCAGCAACAAAAAAAATTGCAAAAAGAAGAGAAAATTGCTTACACCACAGCTCAGAAATCTTGTTCAGAATCATTCTAATGTGATTTGATACTTCAAATCTAACACAGCTATGCAGCGATGCATTTTTTTCAGGATTATTTGATGAATAGAGAGTTAAAAAGAACAGCATGCATGTAAAATATAAAAATGTTTAATATTAGAAATGTCTTAACTATCACGTCTGCTAAATTTAATGTGTCCTTGCTGAATAAAAGTATTAATAAA